TTATGGGAAGGAGGCCAGTAAATATGGTTGAAAAAGTGCAAGTGTGATGTGACATTTGCTAAAATAAACACATTTTGCAGTCTCCTCTGTAAACAAGAGTGTTGTCACTTGTCCTTATAGAATAACATAAGGTTTAACTCTGCCACTCATTGATGTGGCTTTCTTTTTGATATTTATAATGTTACCCTTGAGTTCTATTTAAAATGATTGATTTGGTGCATTTAAATTGATGTCTTACTTTATAGTCCCTGATTCCCTTTTTACGGTGTCTGGCCAGGGGCAAGGGCAGAGAGCTGAATCCCTAAGAAGTCATAAAAACTTCAGCAAACTTTTCCCCCTTCAATAAGTATTCTATAAGCCATTGATACATGACTCATTTCTTAATAATTACATTCATGGACATTTCTTTTTCCTTCCCAGAAAAACTTTAAGCCTGATTACATTTTTTGAGCTGGACTGATTTTCCTGAATTTATAGATGAATGAAAACAGAAAGCGATTTTAGTGTGACATGCATGCTTTCGGATATTAGATCTTTTCTTCTTTGAAATTATAGCGATGCAAAAATGCAGCACATTCTGTAAAAACCTGCTTCATCGGAACGTTTGCTGTGCAATGTTTGTGGGATATCACGGGGAAGCTGTTAAGTCTCTTTTTGAAGTTTCCTAGGTTTTAAAATTCCTGGGTTCTCTTTTAATGAGCTTGCTATTGTTAAATTAAAACTTTCAAGAGAGCCAAGAATTGATGGTTATTTACGACAGGCTCCAAATTCAGATAGAGTAAACCCTGGCCTACCTGTGTAGTGGGCTAGCTTTTCTCCCGAATACAGCAGCCACTCTGACTTTTTCATGAAAATTAATGAAAATTAAAATTGAAATCATCTTTTCTTTTCTCTTTAAATTGAAATCATCTTTCATGTTAGCTGCATTTCAAAGGCCCTGTAGCCACATGTGGCTGGTGGTTACTGTATTAGACCCTGCAGGTCTAGAAAGTTCGACTAGACCTTCCTGGCAATTTAAAGATAATTCAAAATAGGTAAAAACCCCTAATAATTTCTGGTTAGCCCTAGAATACTATCTAGTAAGTGTTCTTCCCCACCCATTTTCTTACTAACAAGACTTTGCTTGGCTTATGCTAAAATTATTTAACTGTCTCTGATTTTTTTACCAAATGGTAGGAGGAGGTGGAAAAGAATTAACAGGGGAGGGTGCTTATTCTGTTAAATTTCTTTCAGATAAACAGGTAATCTGAATGCAGAAAAAACCGTTAACACTGAAAAAAAAGCTCTGGTAGATTTGTAGAACTTTAGATTCGAAAAGGGCCCTGGATTGCATCTAATCAAGCTTTCATGAGAAGTTTGAAGGAACAGAGAGGTCAAGTCATTTGCCTGGGTCACACAGCTAGATCATAGCCTTGCTACTCTCCCAGTTGCTCTAATTGTGTTGTTCAGCAGCTTTAGAGAGAAGAGGAGCCAATTAGAGTGGGATTAACTTTACACAGGATCCCAAGTGTATTGTAAAAAACAGGAAGTTACCCTTTAAAAACCCAGCTTTGTGAGCTTTCTTTTCATGTCTTTAAAAAAATAAAGGTACTTTCATTAATAGAAAGCTTTACCTTTGGTCTTGAACCTAATATATATTTTAAGAACCAAAATGAAATATGCCTCTTTTTAAAAATAGCCTTTTTTGGGGTCGGGGGTTGGCGGCAGGAAAGGATTTTCTTTTCAAAATCCTGTTTTCATTTTGTAGGACTTCGGGGTTGGTTTTAACCAGCGAGCTCTGCTGCCCCCACAAAGTCCCCTGGAAGTACATTTCTGTGGAGTGGTCTGTCGTTCTCCTGTTTGACGTGGTTTCTCCGGCCATGTTTATTTCCACAGGCACAGCCTGGGAATGTGCTGTGGAGACCGAGCTGTGGAAAGGGATTTAGTCTAGGAAGCTGCCTCCAAGCTGTGAAGAGATTGCGTCTTGTTAATGTCGGAGGGACCCCTGGGTCGTTTGTACCATGTCCCCTGGATTGGCCTTGTGAAGGATGCTGTGCACTTGTTTCCTTCTTCTCTCCCCAGACCTTCATCCACAGGGTCCTGTTTCAGTCCTGTCCCTGTCTGTCCGTCTGTCTGGCGAACGGCTGCCTGGAACAGGTCGAATCATGGCACTCCCGCAGTGAAATTCTGCGGTGTCTGCTCTTGCCCGCAGAGTGGAACGCAGGGTTGGGGTCCTCACTTGGGCAAACCAGCCTCCTGGCCTTGGGGTTCAGCCTCGGGCCTGTTCCGCTAGCACTTCCTCCGGTCCTGCCTGCCCCCGCCCATCCCTGTGGTGATCACGGCTTCTGCGCCTTGTTTGCCTCTGCCTCTCTGTGTCTCTAGTGTCCCTGTCCCTGACCAGCTTATAAGGGGTCATTGCGTGCTCCCTGTACCCTGTGGGGATGCCCTCTGTACTAGACTGTCTGATACGCCGTTGGCTCCAAGGGTCCCCCCTCCTATGTCGTTCAGCTGCTTGTCCTTTGGCCATCCCAGGCCTCAGTGATCTCCCCGACAGACCCCAGCGGACATCTGTGAGGGAGGCAGTGTTTCCCAGAGGGTGCCGCACCTTCCTCTGGGTGCCCCCGTTACTGGTGGGCGTGGTGTCCCCCGGCTGGGTGATCAGGGGATCCGCAAATTCACACCCATGCTTCTGGCGTCACGGGCAGGTGTGTGCTGTCTGCTGCGTGCTCCGCGTACCTGTTCTTGCCCGGGTGCTTGTTGGCTCCTGGGTCTCTGGTGCGATGGCCACGCTTGCTTATCAACAAGTGAGTTCTCTGCCGATGGCAGCGGCCATGGCTCCTGGATGCCGGTGGCGCTGGAGACACACGGTGCTTACCGCCACGTGCTGTGACATCTGGGCCTAAGGCACCAGGGCTTGTGGGGAGCCCCGGTTGCCCGTCCCTTTCCTGCCCGGTTGGCTGCATGCCGCCCCACAGGGAGGGGACCTCCGGAACCGCGGCTGCCCACAAATCCCAGTGTCTGCGTGGTAGCAGGAGTGCTCTTAGGAGAATGCAGTTCTACCTGTCATCGTGTGCGCAGTGTTAGCAAACGGCTGTCGCTGCGGTGAAATTAGCCAGCCCCAGCGTGCAAAGTGCTGGGGTTGCCAATGCCCTCTGTTTTAAAGCATCTTGGAACCCGTGTATCTGTTCCACGCATTCCTTTACTTATTTCTTAAAACAAAACAAAACAAAACAAAAAAAACTATTTAAAGAAAAACACACCAGTTTTCGTTTAGGTTGAGGTCGTTCCTGTGTGCACCTAGTTTCCTTACACCGTCGGTCTTAGACGCTGCTGGAGGGCGGGGTAGGACTGTCCTGCCTTGCTTTCTTGGCCCCACGCAGGGCTCCGTTGAGCCTGGGGTATTTCCCGATCCTTGATGAGACTTTTATTTTTTTCATTTTTTTTTTTAAAGATTTTATTTATTTAACAGACAGAGAGAGACCACAAGTAGGCAGAGAGGCAGAGAGAGAGGGGGAAGCAGGCACCCTGCTGAGCAGAGAGCCCGATGCGGGGCTTGATCCCAGGACCCTGAGATCATGACCTGAGCCAAAGGCAGAGGCTCAACCCACTGAGCCACCCAGGCGCCCCCCTTGATGGGACTTTTAAACCCCGGAAGCTGTTTCAGCCTTTTAACCAGTGCCCTCTTTCCTGGGACAGCCTCAACTTCTCCTGTATCCCCGGTCCTGAATTCTGGTCCTCAGATCACAGAGCCTCACTTTGGCTTCAGAAAGCAGGATAAGCAAAATAGACTCAAAATGGATGAAGGATCTCAATGTGAGAAAGGAATCCATCAAAATCCTTGAGGAGAACACAGACAGCAACCTCTTCGACCTCAGCCGCAGCAACATCTTCCTAGGAACATCGCCAAAGGCAAGGGAAGGAAGGGCAAAAATGAACTATTGGGATTTTATCAAGATCAAAAGCTTTTGCACAGCAAAGGAAACAGTTAACAAAACCAAAAGACAACTGACAGAATGGGAGAAGATATTTGCAAATGACATATCAGATAAAGGGCTAGTGTCCAAAATCTATAAAGAACTTAGCAAACTCAACACCCAAAGAACAAATAATCCAATCAAGAAATGGGCAGAGGACATGAACAGACATTTCTGCAAAGAAGACATCCAGATGGCCAACAGACACATGAAAAAGTGCTCCATATCACTCGGCATCAGGGTAATACAAATCAAAACCACAATGAGATACCACCTCACACCAGTCAGAATGGCTAAAATTAACAAGTCAGGAAATGACAGATGCTGGCGAGGATGTGGAGAAAGGGGAACCCTCCTACACTGTTGGTGGGAACGCAAGCTGGTGCAACCACTCTGGAAAACAGCACGGAGGTTCCTCAAAATGTTGAAAATAGAACTACCCTATGACCCAGCAATTGCACTGCTGGGTATTTACCCTAAAGATACAAACGTAGTGATCCGAAGGGGCACATGCACCCGAATGTTTATAGCAGCAGTGTCTACAATAGCCAAACTATGGAAAGAACCTAGATGTCCATCAACAGATGAATGGATAAAGAAGATGTGGTATATATACACAATGGAATACTATGCAGCCATCAAAAGAAATGAAATCTTGCCATTTGCAACGACGTGGATGGAACTAGAGGGTATCATGCTTAGCGAAATAAGTCAATCGGAGAAAGACAACTATCATATGATCTCCCTGATATGAGGGAGAGGAGATGCAACATGGGGGGTTAAGGGGGTAGGAGAAGAGTAAATGAAACAAGATGGGATTGGGAGGGAGACAAACCATAAGTGACTCTTAATCTCACAAAACAAACTGAGGGTTGATGGGGGGAGGGGGGTTGGAAGAGGGGGGGTGGGGTTATGGACATTGGGGAGGGTATGTGCTATGGTGAGTGCTGTGAAGTGTGTAAACCTGGCGATTCACAGACCTGTACCCCTGGGGATAAAAATATATTATATGTTTATAAAAAATAAAATTAAAAAAAAAAAGCAGGATAAGCACCTGTGCTCAGAAGCTGTGCAATGAGTCAAAGATGGTCTCCCAGTTGGTTACATTTACCTGATAATCTGTCATTTCATTTTCTTATTCGTGTACTTCTCTTCGTACCCGCAAGAGGCTTAGGTTGCCGCTGGAAGAGCCAGTCTCGACATTTCCATAGTTCCTATTCGGAAGTAGGTATTTTCTTTCTTTGTATTTTGATGGACAGATGGCTTTGTATCCCTCCCCCGCCCCCACAGCGTCTGGTGTAGTATTTTATGAACAGGTGGGGAGTAAGTTGGTGCTGGGTTAAGTTCCCGCACCGGGTACCGGGGACCTCACCCGTCTTCTCCTGCAAGAGTTTTCTGCCTTTTTCCTGCCATGGTGCAGGTGACTCATACCCTTTTATGAACCTTTAATTTTGACCTGACCTCAAAATAATTTTCCAGGAAAGTCAACTGAATAGCACCCAAAGGGCCGTGTGCGTGCATATGTGTGTGTGCGTGCATGTGTGTGGCAGCTTAAAAGGGAGCGGTATTTTCTTTATGTGGGTGACAAATAAATAAAGGTATTTATTTACAAATAAATTATTTATTTATTATTATTTATTTATAATAAATAATAATAAATAAATAATAAATAATATATAAATAAATAATAAATAATATATAAATAAAGGCATTTATTTACATTATTAAATAAACAAATAAAGGTATTTATTTACAAATAAATAAAGGTATTTTCTTTATGTGGGTGACAAAATATTCTATTTATAGGTGTAGAGTTACTGTGCCTTCCTTTATCCTTGCTCTTTTGCTGATTCAAACTTTCCTCTACGTGTGCAGCACAAGCAGACGTTGAACGAGGGAGAGATTTAAAAGGCCGCATGGCTGAGTCGAACCACCTGCGATGACCGTGGCCGACCCTGAGAGCGGCGTGCCGGTTGTTTCGTGAGCCGGGACGTAAACGAACTGAATTGTAGGTTCCGCGAGAAGCGCCTGTAATTTTACCTGTTTTCCCACCTCGTCCTAGCAGAATGCCAGCGAAGACTAGCTGGGCTGTGCTCGGAAAAGTCTGGATTGGTCAGGAAGCACCTTGGCAAACGCCGAGCCCTCGCCTGGGTCTGGTCGCACATTGCTTGGGACACGCGCGCCGTCTCCCCGGGTGTGGGTGTTTCTGTTACCAGCGTTACGCGGCATCCTGCGTGTTAGGATGACCCAGTAGCACATCTGAGAGGACGCTGTTACTTGGCGGGGAGGGACTTGAAAAACAAAGGAATATAATCAAGGTTCTCTGATTTTTTTTTTCCTTTGTTGGTTGCTCCTAGGTAATTCTTGCTGCGGGATGCGTTAAGAGAGGAGGACCCTTGCTCACTAGGCATGGAGGGCAGCTTGTCCGCGTCCAGCATGCAGGAACCCGCCTTCTCATCCCCGGAGAAGCAGCAAAGCTCAGCGAGTGGTAATGGAGGTCTCGATTCAGGTGGGACGTTGTTTTCTGGATTTCTCTCTCTGACGTGGTGATTCGGTGACCCGGATCTTCCTGAAAATGTTCAGGCATCAGTGGGGTGGACATTTCCAGATCTCTCATGCTGCCTGTTCCTAGCATCTGCTGTCATAGTTAGAAGCCTACAGTAGCTTGAAAGTTATGCAAAATTTGGCCCCAAATGAGTATTTCCTATACTAGATGGCGAGGGGTGGGTCACAGTGAGGGGACAGATCGCTTCAGCATCTCAGTGGCTAACACAGTGAAATGTTTATATGTCATTTTTTAAAAAAAGATTTTATTTATTTATTTGACAGACAGAGATCACAAGTAGGCAGAGCAGCAGGCAGAGAGAGAGGGTGAAGCAGGCTCCCTGCTGAGCAGAGAGCCCGATGCGGGGCTCGATCCCAGGACCCTGGGATCATGACCTGAGCTGAAGGCAGAGGCTTTAACCCACTGAGCCACCCAGGCGCCCCTTTATATGTCATTTTTGCCAGTTAGGACACACCGTCTTTCTCTTATGGGTCCTTGATCAACAGTGACGTCATCTGGCTCCCAAGACACAGCTGTCCCTTTTGCTCAGAAACTCTTGACCAGAATGACTCTTGTGTTTGCGCCAGTGCAAGGGAGGTGGGAACGTCAGACTTTTCTCCCAAGTGCTTTGAGGGACAGCGGGATCCGCCCAGGCACCTATGCCACCGTCTCCCCTCCTCTCTGAAACCTTGAGCATGTCTTTCAGAGAAGTGCCTAATGGGAAAGAAATTTAGGTCACGTGAGTCTGTGGTCAAGTTTTTCCTCTGTTCAAGGAATCTAACACCTAACCAGCCTTAGAGTGAATGTTAGTATTTGATCAGTGAGTTAATTCATGCATCTTTTTCTAAATATTTACACAAGAGTCCGTTTTAAAAAAAAAACACTTTTTTTTCCCCCTTTTTTTTTTTTTTTTAAAGATTGCTCTATTTGCATCACAACAAATTCAATCAGGACAGGTTAGCTGTCTGGATCTTGAATATTTGCTCTGGTGAATTCGTGTAAAAAACTGTTGATCCTTAACTAAGTGGTAGATTTGACACTTATCTGGAGAAATCACGATGTTTGCCTTTTTACTCGGATGAGTGTTGTCAAGGGCAGCATTACTGAAAGCTCGATATCACTGGATTTATTGCGTTAACTCAAATTTCTATCTTTATCTGCAAAAAAATCTGGAAACCCCTGAAGTTATTGCCTAAATATGGAGAAGGATGTTCGTGTCTGCTTCCCAATCAGCCCCGTTTCCCCACCCGCCCCGTTGGGATTTTTCTGTACATAAGCTGGCATGAGGAAACTTCTAGAAGCAGAGCTGAGACACTGTCCCCCAGTGGAAGTATGGAAATTCCCTTCTGAGGAAACTCAGTCCCATAGGCGGAAGGTTCACCCTACCCTTCGTTAAGTACAAATACGCTTTTTAAAAAAAAGTCTGTCTTACGTTTGCTGCGTGAGATTACATTTCCACTTCTGGTTCCCCGGGCTCTCCCCGTGCCTTCGCAGAACGGTCCTGTGTCTGTGACTGCCTCGTTTTCAATGGTGTGTTTTCGAGCCTGTTGAAAAACCTAACGTGTGTGGACTTCTCAGTTTCTTGCAACGGCAGTATATGTGTCTAGCTTATGTAGGTTTTGGAGCCCATTGGTAATAATACGGTGTCGGGAAAATTATCTGGGCAGCGTTTCCTCGTGGGGGATCCCATGAATAGGGAAGTAGGAGATTTGTTCTGTCACCGGCTGGGCTGGGCTTGTGCCGAAGGCCCGTCGTGTGCACACACTTCATGGTGGCTTCCTTGCTCACGCACGACGGCGGCCTGAATCACACGAGACGGGAGGCTCTTTTCTAGAAATGCTAGTTCTGAAGGACTCCAGAGTGTCTTAACATGCATAGACATGGGCCCAGGAGCCTTTTCCCCCCGTACGTGGCTGATCTTTCCTTTCTCCTTGGAATTTCCACAAGCGGCTCTTTGGAGGCTTTTAGATGAGACACGAAGAGTGGCTCCTCAAGGAGAAATAAATTTAGGGCAGGATCTAAACCTCTGTAGAGGGCAGAGGCCGACTGCCAGAGTCCCAGGGTCGTCTCAAACACTGTCTGTTAAACCGGACTCAAGTAGGAATCCTCAGGAAGCTTATTTTCCCTTTCAAGCTGGTGATACAGAAAACAGGTCTGTTCTGGCGTCAGTGGTGGGGTGTGTGGTGGTGGGACCCCCTGTGACATGTTTGGGGCCGCGAGCATTTTGTGCAGGACCCACTCACCAGAAGAGCAGGAGAAGGCAGGCATAGCTGGTTCTCTGTGGACCAGGGACAGGTACGTACGTGACCCTGAGTTCGAACTGTATGGCAGGCACTCTGCAAGTACTTTGTGTCTGTTGACTTGGTTTACCCTTCCATGACCCCATGAAATAGCTACTTATATCATCCGCATGGTAAAGAGGGGGGCACCGGACAACATGGCGAAGTCCCTTGGCTCTTGGGTTGGGGCCAGGGTTTCGTTTCCAGCATCTGGAGGCCCGGGAGCAGGTGCTCTGCACACTGGGTCACACCTGCCCTTCCGTGCGGGGCGAAGTCACCAAGGTGCGCCAAGCACACCCCCTCCGTGTGCAGACACGCACTTTCTGAGATGTGGGCACGACCCAGATGTTTTCTTGTCCTTCCCTCCACTTGTCCGCTGTCCCCTCCCCACATGTGATGGGACACGGGCCGTCTCCCCCAGCAGGTGACTACGCATAGGTGCCTGGAGCTCTTCTCGGCCCAGGTGACGGGCCGGCTGCTGGTACCTGTGTCCCCACGCCCTACCCTGAGCCGCTGCCCTTCCTCGCACGGACGAGCCGTCCCTCTGACTTTCGCAAAAGCTTTACCGGACAGCAGTGAGGTCCAAATCTGATTAATGGCTTTTTCTCCCATTTTGCCTCTTCTCCTAATGAAATCTCAAATCCTAGTTTGACTGGCATCTGAGTCCTGTAAAGGAAACAGGCGTCCCGGGAAACGACTCCTCCTCCCAGGGGCACGGAGGATGTGGCCGGGATGAGCGCAGACCCGAGAGCCCGAGGCCTCCCCAGCAGACAGGGCAGACGACGTTGTCACCTGGCGGGCGGAGGAGGCTGTGGACCGGAGCTGGTGCTGGAACTCTGGGCTCCTCCAGTCGCCGTGATAAAAGCAAGCCAAATAGCATGCCGACACGGTGATAAATGGACTCCTTGACATTATTTTTCCAGGCCGGCTGGATGTAATTTCCCGATGAAGTTGGAGATAAAGTGGGGTTGCACATTCAGACCGGGTGGGCCTCTGAGTGAAGAGAGTTATGCTGGGAACGTGGGCTTGAGCAGTTTTTTCTTTTTCTTTTTCTTTTTTTCTTTCTTTCTTGTGTGTGTGTGTGTGTGTGTGTGTGTGTGTTAGCAATACATTAATTGCAGTTCCATAGATTTTTTTTTTTCTTTTTAATTCTGGAAAGAAAGGAGTCAACATTCTCATTAGAAAAATTCAGATTTCTGATTCTTGGTGCTAGGAACTGGTTCTGTATGACTCCATTTGTGTTCCCTGTTAAAAACAAAACAAACAAAAGACCCCAAAGAGTTCTCTTTAGAAAAGTTACTGCCCTCCTCTGTCCCTGCCCGCCCCCCAACTGGGTGACTGGGTGATTTTTATGTGTGTGTGTGTGTGTTTTTTCTGGAAAATCTCTTTGGCTGTCTGCATCGTCTGAGTGCAGGTGACTGTCCCCCCTTCCCTGGGGGATGTCCTGCAGCCATGAACTCGGCCCTCCCTGTGACCTTGGGCAGCCCTTTCCCAGCGTCCTTCATGTTGTGAGTCTGCTTAATGCAGTAATGGAAGTACTTTTTAAACCCTGCGGTGGTATGAACGCCCTATCAGCAGGGAAAATCACGAAGACATAAAGCCTTCTTTCTCTTCCCGAGGAATATCTAGGTGTCATGTGAAATTTCATCGGCTCCAAACCTGCAGGCTCTCCGTTCTTTTATTGGCTAGTGGTCACGGACGTTAGCGCTCAGCCTCGCAAAGTTAGCCCGATTCAGACTCTAAAACCAGAACCCGAGATTCGATTCCTTAAAAAAAAAAAAAAAAAAGGTGTGTGAGCCACGTGTTTACCCTGTTTTCCACTCGCATGGGTAAGGTGTGTCAGCATCCACACCTCAACTTTGAGTGCGCTTTTTCTATCTATCAGGGAATAGGCTGGTCCCATAAGTAGCCTTCTGTTCTCCACGACTGAATGGCCACTAATGAGTGCGCCTGTTTTCTTTGAGAACGTGCAGTTTTCTTGGTCGCGTTTCATGGCCTGTTTTCATGACATCACAGGGAAAAACGCTTCTGACTGGTGCCTTGGCAGAGGACGGAGCTTGTCAGAATTTCCCTGATAAAAAGTTTATGGGTTGACGAGGTTTATGAATCAGCTGTAAATATTTGCTCTGGGTTTATGAGACCTCCTCTCGTAAACAGGGTGCGTGTTTATCTGTTGCTTATTGAAAGGTCTGCAGAGAACGGGCTGTTCGGGGATCGTGTGCCTAGGGGACATGCTGTGAGTCACAGGTCGGGGAAGGCCTTCTGGTAGGGGACCCTGCGTGTTGTGTATGATTTTATCATTGGAAACTACCCGTGCTGGGCACACAGGCTTTAACTTTTAAAATCCTGTTCCAGCTTTGACTTCTAAGTATTTTCCCGGGACTCTAGAGCGTGGAATGGCTCTCTCCAAGGCAGCGTTCTTCTGAGCTCGCTGGGGAGTCCCTGGGGGGCCTTTCCGTCCCCTGGTGGCTTGAGCGAACGCCAGAGTGAGCCTGGAAGCCGTCTGCAGCCTGCTCGTCGCAGGAAGAGAAGCTCAGTTTGTAATGAATGAGTTAAACTTCGGTGAGGACGGGGTTTTGGTGAGAATGCCGGTGGCCCCGATTGGAATTGTCTGCAGCGTGGAGAACTGGAGCGAGCGGTCTCAAGGCTGAAGCAGAGAGATTGAAGCCACAGGCTCACCCACACGGATGATTCCATGCGATGGGGTCCCTGGTCCTTCCAGGCGTGGTGCTGAAGCTTAGTGACACTTTCCAGCCCCAGGCGCTGGCTGCCACAGGCCCTTCCTCCGGGGCGTGTCCTCAGGCAGATGCTTCGATGCCAGGGAAGCCATCACTCCCTACGAGATCCCTTCCATTTCCCAGGAGCTGTTCATTCACCCGCAGCTCTCCCAGGACCACCTGCCTCCGAAGGCCCAGGCCTGTGTTTCATACCCTTGTCGTCCCCCCAGTCTAGTCCTGCTGCTGAAGGCTCTGGGGGTTCTGCGTATGCCGTTTTTTCTGAGCTTGGCTACTGCTTCCCGCCTTCCCCCACCTCCTGCCTCATCCTGCTGCCGGGCTGGGGTCTGGAGTGCTCTTAGGCTCACCCGCACGGAAGACAGAGAAGCTGGCCCCGAGTCTGCCCTGGGTTCTCCAGGAGGAGGAATGGGTAGTGGTGCTGGAGGGCCTATGCCCCACGTATGATGCAGGCAGAAGGGAGATATAGAGAGGTGTCTCGGGACAGTTTCAGCTTGAAACCGGACAGCCCGAGTGGGATTCCTACCTCTGTGGCTAGACAGTTGCGTGGTCCTGGTGAACGCCCCCCGCTTCTCTGGGCTCCTGTCATCTCTTCTGTGCCATGGGGGTGGTGGTCACCATCTGTCAGGGTTTTTGGAAGGATGAAAGGGGGTGATGCACGCAAAGTGGTTAGCAGCGAGCTGACACCCTAGTCCTGTGCAGGTCTTAAGACACTGCTGTGACTGCGTGGTGGCTCTGTGGGGCCGGAAATGCGTGACCCTGGCTGGGGTGGGCAGGCCTGCAGGTGGCATGGGCTGAGCGGGGGCCGGACAGGTAGGCTGTGGAGAAGTCACAGACTTCCTCTGCACCAGGCGCCCTGAGCAAATGAGATGTGTGCGGATGCTTCTGGCTAGTCCATCAGAAAGCAAAGCTGGTAATCGATGCTTGCGGCCTTTTGGGGAAAGAGTTGTGAGTCGAGCCATTGGGCGACACCCGGAGGGGTTTCCAGAAAGCGACTGTGTTCCCTGCAGGTTTGCGTCATGGTGTCTCTTGTTAGGTGGCCGCTGCGGGACCTGCTGACTTTTTTCAGGGAGCCTGTTTCCAATGGAAGGACCTTAGTCCCTGGATAAAGTGGAATGTTGGGACAAAAACAAGGGGGAAGGGTTTCTCTTCGGGTCGCTTTTATTTTTTCCTGCACATTGAATTATAAACCAGCTCATAGGGGGCGACGTCGAGGAGGCTAGTTCTGAGCAACTTTGATTTAGAAGACAAAATGTAAGGTAACTACTTTTAACCTAGCATGGTTTGACTTTCCAAAAACGATCTGTCCATTTCCGAGACGATACAGAGTAGCACCAGAAAATTATTTTCCGTACTTACAATTGAAGAAAGCATGGCTTTCTTTCCAAGAGCCTCCTGCTGCTGATTCCCCTGGCCCATCTGCCAGGGTACACCACTTCTCCATTAATAACGTGACCGAGAGCATTATTTATTCTTGGCCCGTGAAACAGGCTCTTGCTTATAGGAGATACACAGCTTGAGCATTAGCAGCCATTGCGTTCTCACAAGGAAAGGGAAGCTAAACTTCGACGCTCTCACTTAGCCACATGTGTGGACAGCCCTACGCTCTATGTTCTTTATGCTGTGATAGCCTTGAGATAGGTTAAAGTCATGTTTACAGCTTGTGCGTTCTTCCCGTTGGAATCCATGGCATGATATTGTTATCCATACATTAAAATGAGGTAATGGGTTCTTTTTGACTATACAGATTGTATCTTACACACAGTCTTAAGTGTTTTGGGAATTACTTGATTGTCAGCTGCTTGGTTTCTGTCCCTAAGTTGCTAGGTGACCTCACATACTGGAGCAAGGCTTCTGGACCTCAGATAGTTTTTTCCTTGGAAGCGCATGAGAGCCAGTGCTTCCTGAGGTCCCTGAGGACACGAACAGTCTGTGCTGTTGCTGTCTGATCTCTAATCTCTCACCACTCTGAGGTGTCCGTGCTGTCTACACGTCCAGGTTTCCTTGACCTGGTCCTCCAACCTCCCCGGAGAAAGGAGGGCCACCGTGACGCTGGCTGATTCCCAACAAGCACTCTAACCGGCAGCAGACATGCCCTGAAACAAATCGCTTTTCATTTGCCCGAGAGCGCTTAATTTTACACTTGATTTTGCCAGCGTAGTTCAGGCAGGATTTCCTCAGCGTTCCTTTTCCTTAGTCAACATTCCACAGTTCCCACGCCGAAACGGACAGGACCAGCAGCATCCTTTTTTTTTTTTTAAGATTTTATTTATTTGAGAGAGAAAGAGAGCGAGAACACGAGCAGGGGGAGCATCAGAGGGAGGAGGAGAGGCAGGCTCTGGGCTGAGCAGGGAGCCTGACACAGGACTCAATGGATCCGCTGACCCTGAGATCATGACCTGAGCCAAAGGCAGATGCTACACACACTGACCGACCGAGCCCCCCAGGGCCCTCAGCAGCGCCCTCAACAGGACCCTCCTGCGCCGTTGAGTTCCCTTGTCTCTTGCATGAAGGATCCCCTGTGCTTCATGGGAGGCCGGTGCCTTTCCGTTCTTCGCTCTGGTGTTGACATTCTTCCATTTTTCTTTGTCTTTTGACAGAAGAAGGTTCGAGCCTGGAGGAAATCGGCTTTAACTGGGGGGAGTACCTGGAGGAAACAGGCGCCAGCGCAGCCCCTCACACGTCCTTCAAGCATGTACGTCTCCCCGCTTGTCTTTCTGGTCTGCATTCGGAAGGTGGGAAGGGGCATCCGCAGGAAGATGCCGAACCTTTGGGAAGAAAAGGGAAATCGAGGCAGGATTTTTTAGAAATCAAAAGGAGAGGGCAGCCAGCTGTCAGAAGGATGGGCCTCGTCCTTGCACTTGATCTCTTCCGGTAACAGGGCTGGGCCCTGGGTGGGACTCAGTGTGCAGGAACCGTGGGCACCTTACCCTTATTCTGCACCCTGAGGCACTGCAGCAGACAGACGTGGCCCTGCAAAGGGCACACAGCCTGAGACAGGTAGGACTGATGGGAGTAAAGAGCCAGCAAACAGGGCAAATTCATAGGCTGAGTAATGTCATCTAGGAAGGATAATTATTTTTATTTTGAACAGATACTTTCATTTCAAAAGGACACCTCTAAGTCTTAGAGCCTTTTGTAGGCAGATGATTGAAATTAGAGGAAATAACTAAATATTCAGAATACATTTGGATCAAACCAGAAAATCATCTTCATCAGTAATATTTCTTTGAGCAATGCACAAAGCGTGCCCAGCCAAGGGCAAGGTCCAGGAAATAAAAGATGGAGGTTTTATCAGACTTTTGCTTATGTATGAGATTTTGGTAATTTATCATTAGCAAGGGAAAGACTCAATTTCCAGAACCCGAGTTCTGAGGCATTACTATTGCTTTACTGGAAATGAAAATTTAATTCTGAGAAACATTTTTTTTTTCTTTTCCACTGGGCTATCCAAGGCAAAGATTTAGCCTGAGTCTGATAAGCAAACTGGGGCACTTTTCCAGCTGGTTCTTGCTTTTGGCCCTTTTGCCTCTCAAGATGCTGGGATGACTTGGCTAGATCCCTTGAGGGAGTTAAGGAAAGAGATACCGATCGACAGTTTTTTCCTTCTTTTCTGGACCAGGAAGTCATCAACATTTCTCCATGTGGAGCCACCCCATTCCCTTTGATCCAGTCACTTCTCCCACTTTCCTTCCAACCACAATGCAGTTTCCTTCCCGACGCACAGTTTCCCCAGGCCTGTGCACCTGGTTTAAAGGAAAAGTCGCGTGGACCCATCGACGAGCTACGTATAAATCAGGCAGCTGCTCCTTGGGGATGTCTGATGCGTGAGCTTTCCAATGTCATGGCTCACCGGCTTGCAAAGCCTCCTTTTTGGGGGATGGCTGGTACATATTAATACAGTGTCACCCCTAAATAAAAAAAGAAAAAGAAATGCATTCTTAAAGGCTGTGCTATTCTCTCGGTGGCCCCTAGCCACGCGGAGTTTCTGAGCAACTTGGAAGTGTGTCGTCCACCTGGAGATGTGGGGTGAACGTAGAAAGCTCACGGGATTTTGTGGGCTGCCTTGGAAAAGAACAACAGAAAACAACTCCGTATTTTTTCATGTTGATTACATCTTCAAATGGCAACATTTGGGATACATAATATTTGAGTTAAATAAGATACATTACTAAAGTTAATTTCATCTGTTTTAATCTCTGATATTTATGGAGGCTACTGGTAAACGTCTGGTGGGTGGCTCCTCTTGTATTTCTCTTCCAGCTGCCCTAGGGCAAGGGGAATAGTGTTTTTTAAGTGCTGGGTTTTCAGTACTTCTCATGTGATACAATGTGTCTGATGCGGGGATGGTTTCCCTGTGTTTCTCCTTCCTGAAGGTTGAAATCAGTCTTCAGAGCAACTTCCAGCCGGGGATGAAGTTGGAGGTGGCCAACAAGAACAACCCTGACACGTACTGGGTGGCCACGGTCATCACCACGTGTGGGCAGCTGCTGCTCCTGCGTTACTGCGGGTACGGCGAGGACCGCCGGGCCGACTTCTGGTGTGACGTGGTGATCGCGGATCTGCACCCCGTGGGCTGGTGCACACAGAACAACAAGGCCTTGATGCCCCCGGACGGTAAGCTCCCTGCGTCCAGACGGCCGGGTAGCCCATGCCCCGAGCCCCCAGGCCTTTGGAGTCGCACATGATCATCGTTCCAGATGCTCGCGGAGACTCCAAAACCGATTTATTGGAAGGTCTGGTGCTTTGTGGTTCTTCGGGAGTTTCAGTGTGAGGAGGACTCCTGAGTGGGAGGGGGGCCCGGATGCATTTTTAGTTGTCCGCTGAGACCTCTGTGGCCTTTTGGGGACTAAGACTTTGGAGTCTAGTCCTCAAATGGGTGGGGGGGTAGGAGAGGAGGAGGCGCGTCACGGAAACCTCGCGTGCCCCCGCAGATGGATGGTGTTGCTTTTCTTCTGAGTTAGACACTGGGCATTTTTAAGACTTCATTTACTTATTTCAGAGAGAGGGACAGAGAGTGTGAGCTGGAGGGAGAGGGAGAGAAGCTGAAGCAGACTCTGCACCAAGCACAGAGTCTGACGTGAGGCTCGATCTCACAGAGTCGGACGTGGGGCTCGATCTAACGACTGTGAGATCAAGACCTGAGCCGAAACCAAGAGTCGGCTGCTTAACTAACTGAGCCACCCACACACCCCGAGACTGGGCTTTGAATAGTCACCTAGAGCCCGTGGAACGGGCTTCTCTAGTAAGTTTTCATTTGTCTTCTTGTGGGGAGACTGTCAGGGTGGGAGGCGTGTAGAAAACCAGGCAGATATGGAGAAAGGACGTTCTTCCCAAGGGAATCGTTAGAGCTTGTAGAGAGAAGGTACATTTAGTTGCCGGAAAACAGTGGTTCCCTCCAGTGACCGTACCCCTCAGGGGACATTCAGCCGTGTCTGGAAGCATTTTGTACACCCACAACAGTGGGGTGCTGCTGGCTTGTGGTGGAAGGGCCAGGGGGCCACACAGGACAGTCCCCCAAACAGGCAATCACGGGGCTCGAACTGCCGGTGGCACGGACTTGGAGAAACTGAGGAGCTCGTCTGATCCCGTAAGTGAGAAAAGCCGCCTTTCCAAATATTTGAATCGTAACACCCTGTTTTCAGTGTTTGATCCCGTGGTGACGGCCGCGGTGATGCTTGAAGACCCTGAGTGCCGAGGCTCAAGCCCGTGTCGTGTCTTCATAGTACCTGTCGGTCTAGTTTAACTTGGACTTGATATCTTTCTTTCTGCCTGACACGTAACGTTGAAGAGCTGAGTTTTGAGTTCCTTTTCTGTCCCCCATATTGGCAGTTGCTTTCGCCCAGGACTTTGCGATTTGATCTACTTTCTGTAGTTCTGATATATTGTTCTTCTGATTGGTGGGAATGGTCTGTGTCTTTCTACTCCCCCGTGCCGTGCCTAATAGAGGGACTGCTAAGAGGTGGTCATGGACACATGACCCACAACCCGTGGAGCTTGAGTTGCATTTCCGTGACGTTTGTAGGGACCAGATATGTTGTCTGGGCCTCGGCTGACATCAAGGCCCCTGAGTGCTCCAGAAGAAAGAGAGATGGGCCCTTTGGTCCAGCTTTGGGTCATTGCACCTGTGCTCCCCCATGCGCAGGACGTCCTCCCACCCCTTTGCCTCCTCCAGCCACGAGCTCACAGGCGGTCAAGGTCAGACCCTGTTTTTGCTCACAAAGCCCCTGGTGCCCTCAGAATTGATCACATTTGCCACCCTGTCCCTCCCCCCTTACTGATCCTTGAAAGCAAATTAGATGATGATAACACGTACCGTGAAAGTCGCCCTTGAAAGTGTGCCCTTCAGTGGTTTTTGGCTGCACAACCGTTGCCATTGTCCTGATGCCAGAGCATTGTGCTCACTGTGTAAGGGAAGACCGCCACTCTGCTCTCCTATCCCCTAGGCTCTGGCAACCACCGGCCCGCTTTGTTTCCACAGCCTCGATCATGAAAACACACGGAATCACAGAATGTGAGGCCGCTTGAGTTTGGATTCTTGAACTTTGCATCATGTCCTGGAGGCTCACCCCTGTTGTTCACTGTGTGGCTCAGGACATCATGCCTTTTCCTGGCTGCGTACTGTTCCGCCAGCCGTCTGCTCTCCGCTGCGCTTCAGCATTTGGCCGTGGGCGGGTGCAGCCGCAGTCTCTGTTCTGTGGTTTTACCCCGAGCCGTGGGCCCCGCGGTGGGCGATCGTGCACTCGGGTGGCCCGGTGCTGACACCTGTGCTTGGCGAGGTCTGAGTAGGTGCTCATCGAGGGAGCGAATACTCTGGAAGGAGGTTATGGTCTCTGCTTATTGTGTAGATGCCCTTGAGGAGAGGAATCCCTGAAGTGCCTTTCTTCCTGGCCTTTGCGTGTCCCTGGCGCTGCGAGTGTGAGCCTTGTGTCTGCTCTCTCTGTGGAGGGAGGGGTGGTGGGTGGTGACCGGTCCCCGCTGTATCTCTGCGCCCCGTCCCAGGTCTGCACGCACACACAGTGGGCCGAGCCCGGTAGAGCTCTCTGCAACGCGTCCCAGCCGGGGCCTGCACTGTAGGTCTGTCATAAGCCACATTTTATTTATTTATTTATTTGACAGAGGGAGAGAGATCACAAGTAGGCAGAGAGGCAGGCAGAGAGAGAGGAGGAAGCCGGCTCCTGCTGAGCAGAGAGCCCGATGCGGGGCTCGATTCCAGGACCCTGGGATCATGACCTGAGCCGAAGGCAGAGGCTTTAACCCACTGAGTCACCCAGGCGCCCCATAAGCCACATTTTTATGTTTCTCTTACTTTTTTTCCCCTCTTCACAGAGTTTTAAGTGGATGGAAACTTGTGAACTGTAAGCACAGTGTCAGCCCATCTCTAGAACCTTTTTGTCTTGCATAACTGAGGCTTTGGACCCACGGAGCCGCAGCCCCGCATTTTCCTTCCCCTGGAAGCCTCCACTGCACAGCCTGCTTCTCTGTGTTTGCGCGTCTGATTCCTCACGTACCTGGGGTCGTGCAGTGTGTGTCCTTCTGTGACCTGCTTACTTTCCCTCAGCATTGAGTCCTCAGGGTCTGTCCGTGGGCGGCGTGTCCTGGGATTTCCCTTCTTTTCCCTTCCAGTTTTATTGAGATGGAGGGAAGCGACAGCCGTGCGTGAGTTTGCTGGACAGCTGTCCTCTCGTAGAGAGACAGAGACGAACTGAAAGAAAAGAGTGTGTTTTCCTCGTGATGAGACCTGTCGGGATTTACTGTCTGAAAACCAGCTGTACCGCATGGCAGCGTCAGCTTTCTGTGCCTGCCGTCCCTGTGCGGTCATAGCTAGACGCTTGTCCCTCTCGACCTCCGTCCTCCAGTTCCCTTACCCCCCACGGCCTCTAGGAACCGCACATCTCATCTCCTGTAGTATGAGGGTTACTGGTTCTTTGTTTTTGTTTGTTTGTTTGTTTTTTCTTTTGAGTCCACCCAGAAGTAAGGTGCTACAGTGTTTGTCTCTGTCTGACTTACTTCACTTAATGTAATGCCTCAGGGGCTGTCCGTGTTGCGGCAGACGGTAAGATTTCCTCGTTTTCTTGTGGCTGAAGGATATTCCGTCATATGTACCTACAGTGAACATTTTGGTTGTTCCCGGGTCTTGGCTGCTGTAACTTAGGCCGCTGTGAACCCAGGGAGTCTTGGTTTCCCCTGGGGAGATACCCAGTCACAGAATTGCTGGATCATGAGGTAGTTCTAGTTTTACGTTTCCGAGGAACGTCTGTGCTATTTTCCAGAGAGGCTGTACCGACGGGCACGCCCACCAGCAGAGCGTGAGCGCTCCCCCTTGTCCACATCCTCGCCAGCATGTTGTCCCTTGTCTGTCTGAGGACAGCCATTCCGCAGGGGTGAGGTGAGACCTGCGGGGGGTTTTGATTTGCAATTTCCCTGATGATCAGTGATGTGGACAGGTACCCGTGTGTGCTCTTCGGAAAAATGTCTATTGGGAGCTGCTTCTCAGTTTTCCTTTCTCTTTTTATTGAAGTATCATTGACACACGTTACGTTAGTCTCAGGTACACAACCCAGTGATTCAGCGTCTCTGCGCCTTGTGCTGTCCCCACAGGAGTAGAGCTCCCACCCGAGCTCTTACACGGCGTTACAGTATCTTCAGCCGTATTCCGCGTGGGGTATCATCCATCCCTGTGATTTATTCATTCCATAACTGGGAACCTGAGTCTCTCACTCGCCTTCACCAAATACATGAAGGGAAATGGGTGAAGCTTCTGCCCATTTTTTTAAAATAAAGACGTTATTTATTTGAGAGAAAGAGAGAGAGTGCGAGCACGAGTGGAGAGGAGGGACAGAGGCAGAGGGAGAAGCAGACTCCCTGCTGAGCAGGGAGCCCAGGACTCCCAGATCATGACCTGAGCTGAAGGCAGACTCTTAACTGACTGAGCCACCCCACCCAGGCACCCCTTCTGCCCGTTTTTAAATTGGATTTTTTTAAGCTGCTGAATTGTATGAGTTAATATTTTGGATAAACTCCAATCAGATCCATGGTTGCAAATATTTTTTCCCATTCTATAGGTTGTCTTTTCATTTTATCAATGGTTTCCTTTGCTCTGCAGAAGGCTTTTTAGCTTGTTGTAGTCCCGCTTATTTATTTATTTTTTATTTTATCGTTTGTGCTTTAAGTCTCATATCCCAAAAAATCACCCCCAAGACTGATGGCTAGGACCTTTTTTTCCTGTGTTTTCTTCTAGGCGTTTTATGGTTTTTGCTCTTACATTGAGGTCTTTAGTTCATTTCGTGTTAATTTTTGTGAGTTGTGCAGATAGGCGTTCCTTCTTTTTTAAGACTGAGTAATACTCCGTTTGCTTTGAATGAAAACAGCCATGGAGGTGAGAAGATATAATGTAACATATGGTTATTTAATTTCCCTGCTCTGTTCTCTCATGAAGTAAACCGGTCTGGATGGATGGTTTGTGCTGATGGAATATTGGGAGTATATCCTTGCTACTCGGAGAACGAGAGATCTTCCCACTTGCCCAGCTCCAAACACGACTGATGGCCACACAGCCATGCCCATACCCACCTCGGGCGGGTTCTCGGGCTGCTTCCCTGCCTTCTTGCTGTCCG